GAGCCTGGCTGCCTGCCGGGGCAGAGGGCTCCTCGGGTGGCACCCGCTTGTCCTCGTCCCTTTGGGTAAGGATCCAGCTCTCACTGGCCGCCCGTTGGGTTGGCTGTGGTGAGAGCCCCCAGGGACACCATGCCATCGGCTGAGCGTGCTGCCTTTAGCTCATCCATGGTCCTTCTGACACGGGCATCCTACGCCCTTGTCCTCTCCCGGGGGCAAGGTGGGGTGCAGAGCTGGCAGCTCGGGGAGCTGGGTGCAGCCTCTGTGGTTCCCAGCCTCTGGTGCGATGCACTGACACCGAGACCACTGTCCTGCTGCTGCTGAGCACGGAGCGATGCAGCAAGGGGCTCTTCCAGCCCAGGGCCTGGCACCCTGACATAGATCTGCAAGAAAATACTGCAGTGATTTCAACGTGCTGGCCAGGAGGCAGCTGCAGGAGAGCTGTTTGGAGCCTGTGTGCCATGTCGCGTGGCTGGAGGCATGGCTGTGCAGCGGACCCTGGCATGGACCACGCCAGTCTCTGGCTTCGCAGCCATCCCTCTCCTCCAGCATGGCAGAGGGGAATCGTCTCTGCTCGGGGAGCGAGCAGCTGGAGGATGTGAGGGGGTGAGCGGGAAGCAGGCAAGGCTTTCCTTCCATGAGTTCTTGCTAATGAAAACCAGGAGCCGTGCAAGCTCGGAGTGCAGCAGTGCCTTGTGACAGCGGCGTCGCAGAGCTGTGCGGGTGTCCTCCGGGCAGCCCAGCCCCTTTGCTGGGATTCCCTGGGTAGGTGGATGACGGTGGCAGGGGCCAAGGCACGGAGACCAGGGAGTTCTGGCTTTAATGAGAGCTGTGTCTGGCTGGTTCTGCGATACCTGGGTGGCATGCCTTCCCCCTCGAGTGGGAAATGTTGGGTTTGGACCTTGTTCAAAGTGAGCATGGGGTGTACGCAGCAGCTCCTTGGCTGTCCCACCTCTCTGCCCTGCTTGTTTGTTAGGGGTTTTTTTAAGGACAATGCAGGGCAGGATTCTGTTTGAATCTTGATTCTTGTTTGAATGGGATGTTGACAGCTTGATTGCAAAGTGTTGCTGTGAGGAAGTATTTGTCCTCCCGAGGGGCAAACGTGGTGGTGCATACCAATGGCAAAGGTCTCTCTCCTCCAAGCTGGGTGCAATAACCAGTGCTCTGGCTTGTGTCCTGTTTTCTGCTGTGCACCGAGGCCCTGGCTGGTCTCTGTCAAGGCCCTTCATGTGTCTGCCTCAGTTTCCCTAGAGGCTTTCCTGTCCCCGTGATGGAGCTGTGTTTGCTGCTGTGAAACAACTCTCCTAGAGCAAGCTCATGTTGCTGCTAGAGCACTTCTTCCCCACCTGAGGCTATTCGTGTCTCTCACTTGCAGTCGCAAACAATGAACTACGTGGGGCAGCTTGCTGAGACCGTCTTTGTCACCATGAAGGAGCTGTACCGGGGTCTGAACCCTGCCACCCTGACGGGCTGCATCGATGTGGTCGTGGTGAGGCAGCCCGATAACTCTTTCCAGTGCTCCCCATTCCATGTGCGCTTTGGGAAGCTGGGTGTGCTGCGCTCCAGGGAGAAGGTGGTAAGTGGTGCCTGCCCCGGGACTATCCTTCCCCTCTGGTGTCTCCAGACCTAGGATCTTCCATAACCCACAGGTTATGGAGGAACTTTGTTTGAGGGGAATGGGAGCCCTGCTGAAAGGGATGCTTGCCAATTTTTGGCGGGGATGTCCCAAATGGAACCCATCCCCTTCCAGGGAGGACGGTTCTTCCTAGGAAAATTAGGAGAGGTCCCTTGCCTCAAAGGCTGGGTGGCTGCCAGTCCTGCGAGCAACCCCAACCCATCACCTCCCTGGAGAAGTGCCTTCCTGTACGCAGATGGGAGGATGGGTTCAGACGGACAGGCTGCTTCTGCCCCTTGCCAGGTTGACATTGAAATCAATGGGGAGCCTGTGGACCTGCATATGAAGCTGGGTGACAACGGAGAGGCATTCTTCATCCAGGAGTCAGAGGTGAATGAGGTTGGTGATGCAGAAGTGCTACTGGTCTGCGTCCTGCTGTGACCACCTGGAAGTGCATGCTTGAGATGGAAGGACCAGGTTTGGACTTCCCTTCTTCCCCAGGGTGACTCCATTATCCCCTCTGATATTTTGTATGTTGGGAAAGGTTCCTACTCAAAGGACCTTGTAACCAGTGTGGAGGATCAGGGCAGTGGAGCACTCTGAGGGAGAATTAGCCCAAATACCTTCATCCCAGACTGTCCTCCCTCCCTGGGCATGGCTGCTGGCCAGCCAGGCAGATATCTTGGTGCTTGGCCTCTTGGGGGATCTTGTGACAGGGATGAGAGCGAGCCAGATGCTGTGGCAGGCTGCCTGCTCTACTGGGAAGCAGGATGAGACTAGTTGTGGCTTCCAGAAATCTTGGCAGCTCTCTCCCAGCCTGACTTGTGGTCGCTGCTGGCTTGGGCTGGGTCTGAGAGCAAGGGAGAGGGCTCTAGAGCCGAATCCCATTTGCAGCTTCTGTAATTCTGGTCTCGTGGTGCCA